CATATGCGTAGCTCTCGGCGTGTCCACGTAAGGTGCTGAGTAAAACTCTGCGAGATTTCTCGGGTCCCCATGAGTTTACTAATTCTGAGATGTTTCCAAAATATTGTAGGAACTCATCCCAAACATCATCATTGGCCCCTGAGAAAGTCCACCTTACTGGGTATTCGTTGGTTCGTTGACCAGCATTTGGTGCGATAGGACTGTTTGTAGGTGTCCCGTCAGCCATAGGAAATTCAAAATTGCACCCTAGTCCCTGAGGGGACTGATTACCCAAATAAGGAGTAGTGCATCCAGATTGCCCAAAAACTTTAGGTCCCTGATAGGTACCTGTAGGGGCGTGAGGTGCACTACCACCAGTATAGGGTGTATCATTGGATATCAAAGACATATTCCTTTCCTTACTGGCATTCAGCAGACCGGATCCATACTTCCATAATACGCTGATTACCGTAACAAACAATATCATACTTGTTATCGATATTAGAGAAAATACTGCATTTTCTTGAGATTCCTGCACGATCTCATTCTTTGGAAAATAGATCCAGGTCATCATCATCAGGGAACATCCTATCAAAGCAAAGGGTACCCAAATAAATAGGATTCTCTTTAAGCTTGACCTGGTATTGTACTCGTTTTGAATAGAAAGGCCCGGCGAGCTTCGCCCGAACTCCTGAAAGTTAGGATAGTCTGGCATTACTCGACTTGTGGGCTGCAAAGTTGTTCTACACCCCGTATCGACCTCTATTCCAGAGTCATTCAGAGGAGCCTGACTGTCGAAGTACTGTCCTACCTTTCTAGGCGTAATTCTCCTCTTTACGATGGGTGTCTCTATTTCAAACTTTGTGCTGTCTCGTTCCTGTGTTACACGTAGAATAATTTCCTAGGATCCCACCGCTGCCACCAATTGTAACGTTTTTCTCTCTCTGGGGTGTTTGGTTTTTCCCGCGTTACAAAATATTGTGGATCCCGTGTAGAAGATAGGAACTTTAGATCTTTATAGATCTAACATCAGAACAACGACAAAGTTCGTTTCAACAAGTGTATTATTAATATCCAAACGTAGTTTACAATTCAGCACAAGCAGTGTATCTCCAGTATATCTGCTCACTGACTCTCTCTCCTTATATACCCTGCCTGACACCTAGCGTGATAAGGGCACCTCGTTAGGGCGTTAGGCTCCATCATTAGGGCACCTATTAGGGCGTTAGGCTCCATCATTAGGGCACCTGTTAGGGCAATCGGCTCCATCATTAGGGCACCCTGTTAGGGCAATCGGGTCCATCATTAGGGCACCTGCACCATAGTTAGGTGTCAAGATACATATATTTATAGTATCTGATAAGCACCATATTAATTAGGACACTAATTAGACTTCCAAGATAAGGGCGCTAATCAGGTACCATGGTTAGGACTTATCAGATAAACAAAATTCTTATCTCAGTTTTACTTATAACAATAACATATTTTCATTTAAAACAAAAACATTAGATTGGTCCCTCCTTTTGAAACATGACTTCCACTGTCATAAATTTTTAAAACATGAATATGAATTATACGTAGTCACATTACGCAAATAAAAAATATCCAATACACAAAAGTCAAACAATCAAATAAAAAGACACAAAGTAAAACAACAAAATTATTTTAAATAAAAATGTCACTAGATCAAAAGTTCATCACACTGGAAGCTTCACATTTGGATTTCCCTGACCTTTTTTTTCTTCACATTTTCTCTTCATTTTTTTTTTTGATATAGGCTTTTCCTCTCTAGGTTAATTATAGGCCGTGTAAGGTTGACTGACACCTGACCTGCGGCATCAGTCATCTTAGTAAATATAATTCCTTACAGTTCTCTTTTCAACACAGTTATGTCTCGAGAACTGTTACTTGATAGAAATCCTCCTCTTTCTCTCTGGTTCCATGAGTTGTAAGGGCGTCCCCTCCTCCCTGGTCCTGCACTGGTACATGTACTCGGGGTTCTTATGTTTTTATAGACACTGTTGAATCCGTCACCCGCGCTTGGAGGTTTGGCAGTATCCGCAGCTGCTATTTCATCGTTCAATATCCCAACTTCAATCTCATACACAGGCTTATAGCCTGGTTTTGTCTCCTTTGGCAATTCTTTTTCTCCAATCCGCAAGCACTCTTCTTGCATCGCGTTAAGAACTGCTTCCTGGAGTGTCCTGGGTCTGGTCCGTTTCACTGCAAGTCGGAAATCCTCAGATGTCCCACACTTATCTAAGAAGGACTGTATAGCATTTTCTTCCACTAAATCTGGATTTCCTGGATAGGCCCTTCGGTACAGATCTTCGATTGCCTGTCCTAAATCTCGCAGGGACTCGCCAGGTTTTCTTCTTCTCAATTTTGCGTCTGCAATATACTTTTCCTTCATTGCAGAATGGCCGAATCTTTGGTTCATTTTTTCCATCAATTCCTCATAATCTCTTTGTACAGCAACAGGCATTCCATATGCGTAGCTCTCGGCGTGTCCACGTAAGGTGCTGAGTAAAACTCTGCGAGATTTCTCGGGTCCCCATGAGTTTACTAATTCTGAGATGTTTCCAAAATATTGTAGGAACTCATCCCAAACATCATCATTGGCCCCTGAGAAAGTCCACCTTACTGGGTATTCGTTGGTTCGTTGACCAGCATTTGGTGCGATAGGACTGTTTGTAGGTGTCCCGTCAGCCATAGGAAATTCAAAATTGCACCCTAGTCCCTGAGGGGACTGATTACCCAAATAAGGAGTAGTGCATCCAGATTGCCCAAAAACTTTAGGTCCCTGATAGGTACCTGTAGGGGCGTGAGGTGCACTACCACCAGTATAGGGTGTATCATTGGATATCAAAGACATATTCCTTTCCTTACTGGCATTCAGCAGACCGGATCCATACTTCCATAATACGCTGATTACCGTAACAAACAATATCATACTTGTTATCGATATTAGAGAAAATACTGCATTTTCTTGAGATTCCTGCACGATCTCATTCTTTGGAAAATAGATCCAGGTCATCATCATCAGGGAACATCCTATCAAAGCAAAGGGTACCCAAATAAATAGGATTCTCTTTAAGCTTGACCTGGTATTGTACTCGTTTTGAATAGAAAGGCCCGGCGAGCTTCGCCCGAACTCCTGAAAGTTAGGATAGTCTGGCATTACTCGACTTGTGGGCTGCAAAGTTGTTCTACACCCCGTATCGACCTCTATTCCAGAGTCATTCAGAGGAGCCTGACTGTCGAAGTACTGTCCTACCTTTCTAGGCGTAATTCTCCTCTTTACGATGGGTGTCTCTATTTCAAACTTTGTGCTGTCTCGTTCCTGTGTTACACGTAGAATAATTTCCTAGGATCCCACCGCTGCCACCAATTGTAACGTTTTTCTCTCTCTGGGGTGTTTGGTTTTTCCCGCGTTACAAAATATTGTGGATCCCGTGTAGAAGATAGGAACTTTAGATCTTTATAGATCTAACATCAGAACAACGACAAAGTTCGTTTCAACAAGTGTATTATTAATATCCAAACGTAGTTTACAATTCAGCACAAGCAGTGTATCTCCAGTATATCTGCTCACTGACTCTCTCTCCTTATATACCCTGCCTGACACCTAGCGTGATAAGGGCACCTCGTTAGGGCGTTAGGCTCCATCATTAGGGCACCTATTAGGGCGTTAGGCTCCATCATTAGGGCACCTGTTAGGGCAATCGGCTCCATCATTAGGGCACCCTGTTAGGGCAATCGGGTCCATCATTAGGGCACCTGCACCATAGTTAGGTGTCAAGATACAATATATTTATAGTATCTGATAAGCACCATATTAATTAGGACACTAATTAGACTTCCAAGATAAGGGCGCTAATCAGGTACCATGGTTAGGACTTATCAGATAAACAAAATTCTTATCTCAGTTTTACTTATAACAATAACATATTTTCATTTAAAACAAAATCATTACATATCAATTAGATAATGTATACTTGTTTGATATTATGGAGACTATGTGCATAGATTCCCCCATTGTTTTGTGGTATTTAAGTCAAATAATATATTCACATATTATGTTAACACCAGGCAATATTTGAAATGAAAAGAAAATTGTTTACCAAATGCGAAAGACAAAACAGGAAATACAACATTTCAAAAAAAGCCGGAATAATTAGGTAGAAAAAAATTATTCCGGAATATTTAAAATAAACACACCTGATGCTTATTTAACTTTAAAGGTACTTAGACACAGATTTGAAGTTCATATTTTGAAGTATTTTCTCTATAATATTACGACTTATATATTTTAATAGCATTTCACACAAAAACTAATTATAAATCTTATTTCATTTAACAGTTATTAAAACTTTAAATCTTTTGGCGGGTTTGATTGATACATCTTTGCACTTTCACAAATTTTAACTTTATTCTTAATCCTTATGAAAATTGGCAATCTTGTTGTGTATTAATGAAAAATGTCAATACTATAATCCAGAAAATTCAGAGTAGACGTGTTCGAAAGCAAAACAAACACACAATTTATTGTCAGTCCGTGCAGTTTGTGGTGAACAGGCTTTGGCGATTCAACGCACCCGGTGAATCGTAAACACAAAACAAAAACAGAGCTCTTGCCCTGTTTACAAAATCTGTATACATAACAGGAGTGTGCTCGATTTGCTAAACTCTGTACGCAACTCTTAGTTCGGAATGAAATAAATCATAAAAAAAAATTATTTATCTTAATATAAGTTTTAATATTTCTCATTAATACACAACAAGATTGCCACTTTTCCTAAGGATTAAGAATAAAGTTAAAATTTGTGAAAGTGCAAGGATGTGTCAATCAAACCCGCCAGAAAATTTAAAGTTTTAATAACTTTTGAATAAAGTAAGATTTTTAATTAATTTTTGTGTGAAATGCTATTAAAATATATAATTCGTGATATTATACAAAAAATATTAACTTCAAATCTGTGTCCAAGTACCTTTAAAACACTGGTATCGGTAATAAGATTGGTTCAAGATAGTGTTCCACTCAAATAACTGTCGGAATTCACCTGATATGCGAGATTGAAACATATATATCAAACTGAGACTGGTAACTTCTTTGCCGCACCGAGACCTGCTTCCTTAATGTGCGAGAAGCGACGGGGTCCGATGTTATTTCCGTGCCATCTTGACACAACTACAAGTGCATTGTTAATTTCGTTATCGGCCAGCGTTTTTAATAGCAACCTACCGGCTCCATGCTCTCCATCGTCATTTGAGCCTTCGTGCACCACTCCATCACTACTTGAGAAACGGTAGGCGTAAATATTGTGACTTGCGCTTGGCACAGTCTCGACACGCATGATATCCACCAGCGATTTCTTGATCTGTTTGTAGGAGTCGACCTGTGTAGCGTGTGCTATGAACCGGTTTCCGTTATCTTCTATGGACTTCCCTGTACTAACGGCAGTATTTACCACGTCATCTGTGATCACTTCGTCTGCGGTAGGCAAAGGTCCGACTTTCTCCCGGTAAACGGAGTTGCTTTGCGTAAATACAAGTTTATCACCCTTGATTTTTGACTCGATACTGCGTTCCGCATACTTCTTTTGAACTTCGTAGAGTTGCTTTCTCCTCTCTCGGATCTCCTCCGGCTGCTGCTGTGCTACTCTTATAACTGATTCTTTTTCTTTCAAGACTTTAATATGCTTCAACACAAGGTCTTTTTGAGTCTTATCACTGAATTGTACACAGATGGGTCTCGGGAATTTTCTTTGTACATCATACTCCCCCATGCGGAAAAGTTTGTTTATTCGGAGTTCGTTAACTGTGGCCTCTTCCATCTCCATTTCAGATATGAAAACATTTCTAAGAATATTAGCAAGATTTTCCGGGGACTTTCTCTCTGGACCTTTTTCCTCCAACCCACTGATAATAATATTGTTCTCCATTGATCTTGATTTGAGGTGGATAATTTGACTATTTTGCGTGTTCACACGATATTCAAGCTTAACTACGTAATCTTTCAGTCTATTTAATTCTCTCTCCATTTTCTTCTGATTGTCCTGCAACTCTGTTACGAGGTAGATAGTATTATTGGCCTGCTCCTGAACATTCTCTAGCCTCTCCTGAATACCGTTCTTTGCTCTAATTTCTTTAGTAATGTCATCTAGATGCTTGCCCTGACCATCGAGTCGTAACATAAAATTAGCTAGCGTTGTCTGTATGCTGGAAATGCCCTGCATAATTTCTCTAAGTTGAAAACCTTCAGTGTTCTGTTTACCTTGTTCATCTTGTTCCATTGACAATTCACCCGTATCGTCTGTTTTGTCCAGCGGTCGTTTTTTAGAGATCTCCGCCATTGTGAAGACAGAATAACACTGTATTTAGCTATATGAGTATCGCTCACCGTTTAACAGTTAAATGCCACTGACTTACCGAAAAGTTTACCAACTCTCTGGTGTATCTATTTCTTTCCGTAAACTACTTAAATCTGCACATAACACATAGAAGAATATCTTGATTAATATCACTGCATTTTAAAATTCAGAGTTTCACTTTTTCACAGGGTTTTTGGCAAAAATTCTCCCTCTGCCAGGAATGTGTGTTATACATGTTGGGCATGCGCACTCCTCTCCAAGAGTAAGAGTATACAGCATCTATGGGTGAAATGGGAAAAATTATGAATTTCATGGTCCCCGCCCCCCTGGGGCCTGAGGGGTGGGGCCAAAACCACTAAAATTATTGCAATCTTTAAAAATCTTCTTCTTTTCTCCTGGATATCAAGCAGGCAAACTGTTAGCATGAATGTAATGAGCATTGAGTCATCTACCAAAATTATGAATTTTATGGCCCCAAGGTCAGGGGTTCCCGGGGCCCTATAGATTATATAGTGAAAATGCATTTATTCTTTGAAAATCTTCTTCTCTGCTTCTGGGTATTAAATAAACTAACTAAGTACATAGTTATGATGAGCAAGAGTACTTCTTCTAGATTTGTGAATTTTATGGCCCCAGGGTTAGGGGTTCTGGTGTTAGGACGGGGCTCTATAGATTATATAGTGAAAATGCATTCATTCTTTGAAAATATTCTTCTCTGCTTCTGGGTATTAAATAAACTAACTAAGTACATAGTTATGATGAGCAAGAGTACTTCTTCTAGATTTGTGAATTTATGGCCCCAGGGTTAGGGGATCTGGTGTTAGGGCGGGGCTCTATAGATTATATAGTGAAAATGCATTTATTCTTTGATAATCTTTTTCTCTGCTTTTGGGTATTAAATAAACTAACTAAGTACATAGTTATGATGAGCAAGAGTGCCTCTTCCAGATTTGTGAATTTTATGGCCCCAGGGCTAGGGGTTCTGGTGTTAGGGCGGGGCTCTATAGATTATATAGTGAAAATGCATTTATCCTTTGAAAATTTTTCTTCTCTGCTTCTGGGTATTAAATAAACTAACTAAGCACATAGTTATTATGAGCAAGAGTTCCTTATCTGAAATTGTGAAATTTATGGCCCAAGGGTCAGAGGTTCTGGTGTTAGGGCAGGGCTCTGTAGATTATATAGTGAAAATGTATTTATTCTTTGAAAATCGTCTTCTATGCTTCTGAGTACAAAATAAACTAACTTAGCACATAGTTATGATGAGCAAGAGTGCCTTTTCCAAAATTGTGAATTTTATGCCAATGATCCCAGTATACATATTTAGGATGAAGAAAGGTGCATCTAGCAAAGTGGTTATTTTATGCACCGAAAGGGGGGGGGGGGTACATAGTCTAAAAAAATGCTTTGAAACCTGTTCTTTGATATCAATCAACCATTTTATGATAAAATTTGCAAAATTTTGAATTATGTGGCCTCAGGGTCAGTGGTTCTGTTGGGGTGAGGTGCACAGTTAGTTATAAAGTGGAAGAACGTTTTCTCTTTGTAACTTTGATCTTTGGTTATTGAATAAGTAGAGTATTTTTAATAATGATAAGCAATGGTGCCTCTTTCAAAATTATGAATTGTGAATTCCATGGCCTCTGGTTTAAAACACGACCCAAAGAACAAGGTTCACTTTTGCCTTATTTGGCCCTGTGAACTTCTGAAAAACTGAAACTAAATGGTTTTTGTTAACAATGCATTCACTATCACTTAGATCTTTGGTCATTACGTATCTATCAAAAGTGACGTCATTTTCTGGCTAGTCAATGCATTATGACGTCACGAAATGTGTCAATTTCCTTATATTCTGAAAAAGTCTACAAATCGGCCAATTTCAAAAGCTATTTTTCGATATTTAATATAGAGAGCAACCTCTGATCTAAAATATGCAAGTACTAAATGATAGAACTGTTTTTGAGAATTAAAAGACAGTTTTCATTTTTTAGATCAGAGAGTATGTGCGCTCATATAATTTTTCTTCACTGAAAGTACTCAATTATACCTGTTTACCTAAACATTCAAGAACATTGCAATTTCATAAGGCCAGTTCTCCGAGACCTGGACGTTCAGGAGAAATTTTTTTAATAGGGTATGAAAACATGAAGTCTATTTTATTTTAATGCTTCAAATGAATAATCGAGTGTTAATCAATCAATTGGTATATCTACAGGGCCATTTTATGCATAAAGTGAATTGACTTTTTTAAAATTGTTTGAAAGTTGTTACACAATACTCAGGTGACCTATAAGGCCCGTGGGCCTCTTGTTATTGAATATCACCTGTAGTCAAACAATGTTACCATTGCTTCGCTGGTGATAATGCCTTCATCATTAATCGCATAATATTGCTTTTTACAAATGTATAGCATTTAATCAAAATCAATCAACTTGCATGAAAGTATAATATTGTAGAATTGTTAAAATTCAAGACTGTTTAGAGACTATAAAATCAAATGTCCAAGAAATAGAAACATAATCAATCATAATGAAGGAGCTACAGATTAGGAGCTCGTTGAATATTGTGTAGAATATTAATGAATTGCATGTTTTACTTAATCTTATAAGAATGGAGAGTGCTGGAGAGTTCATTTCAAGTTAATGTGCATCCTATACTGGTTGTACCTATTTTAGAGTGAATGTGCATCCCACACTGCTTGTACCTATTTTAGAGTGAATGTGTATCCTGTACTACTTGTACCTATTTTAGAGTGAATGTATATCCTATACTGCTTGTACCTATTTTAGAGTGAATGTGTATCCTATTCTACTTGTACCTATTTTAGAGTGAATGTGTATCCTATACTGCTTGTATCTATTTTAGAGTAGCTGCATAGCTCAACTTTGTATTGAAGTGTCGAACGAGAAGGGAATATTTTCATTATTTAATTCACGAATGCAAGTTTTTAAAAACACAGATTTGCTTTGTTGCTTGTGTTGTATTGTAAACTTAATATCCAGTGGGATCAAAGTATAACAAAAAATTACTTGTCTATTTGAATATACACGTATTTTATATTGTTATTAGTACACAGATTTGCAATCCTACTCTGTAGCTTGTGATATGTTTATTTTACTTATGTATTGTGTACTTTTTATCCAATATACATTCCATCATTTATTATGCCCCCTTCAAAGAAGGGAGGGCATATTGCTTTGCTGCTGTCTGTCGGACGGTCTGTCGGTCCGTCGGTCTGTCGCTCCACTTAGTTTCCGTTCATTTTCTTCGCAACCGTTGCACAAACTGAAATGAAATTTGGTATAGAGATATATCACTTGAATATCTAGGTCAAGTTCTGTTTAGGGTACGATTGCGCCATTTTTGACAGAGTTATGCCCCTTGGACTTAAAAAAATTCCAATTATTTGCTGTTTCCGTTCATTTTCTTTACAATCTTTGCACATACTTAGATGAAATTTAGTATACAGATATATCACATAAATATCTAGGTCAAGCTTTGGTTTTGGTACGATTGTGCCATTTTTGACAGAGTTTTGCCCCTTGGACTTGGAGAAATTCCAATTTGGGAGGAGGCGGGCATAAGTGTTTTACAAACATCTCTTGTTTATGGAATGTTTTATGATAATCAATATACTTACAATTTATGATAATATAACTATACACTTTTTGCATGCTTCTATTGAGTAGCGTGGGACTTAAAATTGCTGAAGAACTCACTGAGAATTCTTTTTTTGAAATCGATCATGAATGATGATCAGGGTCACTTTGTTGATCTATTTGTATATTAATTAACAGTCAAATTAATATAAATATTTTTCTACCTGTGTTAGACGAATTATTGGAGCATATAGACATAACAATAGTTAAATCCATTTTTTTTTTTGGTTATATGAGTCATTCATATGACCTATTGCTATCCGGTTTCGTCCTTTGTCGTGCATCATGTCTTAGCATTTAAATGTCAAAAAGTCTATTGATGGTAGGAAAATTCTGATAAATCTTGAAATCGAGGGTAATATTCTTACAATAGTAAATATATATGCACCTAATGAAATCAAGAAGAGGTGTGAATTTTTCAAAAAACTTAAGAACTTTATTTCAAAAAGCTGTGTCAACGAAAATATTATGCTATGTGGAGACTTTAACTGCCAGATAAACAATATTAATAATGTTGATAAAAGTGCAAATTATTTAAAAGATCTGATTAGGCATTATAACATGGATGATATATGGAAAAAACAAAATCCAGGTATGTCAGGTTTCACTTGGTGTGATGCAAAAAATGATCCTAAAAGTCGAATAGATTATGTTTTTATAAATGATTCTTTTTATTATAGCATAGCAGATATCAAGGTTAGAAAAATTCCAGGCACTCATTCAAACGGGAGTCGAATGAGTGACCATAGATACTTAAAATTTAGTTTTGATATCGATAAAACGAAAAAAGGTCCCGGATATTGGAAACTTAACGTTTCCTATCTCGACAATGAAAAATATAAAAAAGGTATTTTAGACATTATTCATAGTATAGATTCCTCTTTAAGCCCTATAATGACATGGGAGTTAATTAAACGAAAGGTTAAAGATTTCTTTATTTATTTTGCAAAAAATGAACAAAAGTCAATTAAGCAAAAGATAAGAACACTAGAACGCGAAATAAAAGATATGGAGGAAGGAAATTTTGATTACAAAAGACTAAAAACTTTAGAAGCGGAACTTGACGCTATTTACGACAAAAAATCTAAAGGTGCGCAAATAAGATCTAAAATTATTAAATGGATAGAGGAGGGGGAGAAAAATTCAAATTTTTTTTTAATTTAGAAAAACGCAATCAATCATCAAACGTAATTAAAGAAATAAAAA